AAAAATCTATTTTACTGCTTTTCAGTGAACTTTTCTCGAATTAAAAAAAAAGTTTACTCACTACACCAACTATATGAGCAATATTAAGCCATGTGCAAATCATAAGATACATTAAAGAATCAACTATAAAAGAATAAAGAATACTAGATATAGCTAGTTGTTTTTTCTTAATCATTGGATAAGATTTCTTAGTCAAATGAAAATGGTTGATAAGTGGACTACTAACTAATTTAACATATTGCATGTTAAATCTACTAAGCATCATTTTAACATATTTTTCCTATGATAATCATAACTTTTCAACTCTCTTATCTCGAATAATATCTATATTGAGAATCTATTTTGCTAAACCTAAATTTTTCTTGTTAAAGGACTTATATAATTATTCTTTCAACTTGTAAACCATACCAGTATCTTATCCCATAATTAACATATCATCAACATATAATAAAAGAATAATAAAATTACCATTATGGAATTTTCTAATATATACATAAAGATTCACAGTCATTTATTTATAGTTGTGACTCACCATAAAAGAATCAAACTTTTTATACCATTGTTGCAGAACTTGTTTCAAATAATACAAGTTTTTTTTTTTTTTTAATTTGCAAACTAGGTGCTTTTTCTCTTTCACTTCAAAACCTTCAAGCTAATCTATATAAATATCCTCCTGCATGTCACAATGTAAGAATACAGCCTTAACATAAAGTTGCTCAACCTCAAAATTCAAACTAGTTGCTAATCCCAGTATTACTCGAATGAAACTCATCTTCATAACTAAAGAGAAGATCTCATCAAAATCGATGCTAGATTTTTTAAAAAAACTTTTCATCATCAATTAAGCTTTGTACCTCACTAGTTTGTCACTATCTTTTTTTAGCTTGAACACCTATTTATTCTTCAATAACGTATTTTCTTTTGAAAGGTTAATAAGATCATATGTATCATTTTTCACAATAAGTTTATTTCTTCTTTTATTACTTTTAACTAGTGCTCTCTATTTAGAGTAGTCTGCATATCTTGAAAGCCTGATGGATAGTCGGTGCTCTCTAATAGTTCTTCTAGGTTGAGACTTTACACTATCGAAGATAGCTTTCCTTATTTAACATTATCTGGTGGAGAAGATTGTTCACCCTACTTAACATTCTCTGGTGGAGAGAACTACCCTCTACTCAAAACTGATTGCATTTGGCTCATCACTAACTATGGCTGGTTCATTCATATCTTCAAGTTTTGTCTTTTACTTATTTTCACCATCTGTGGCTTTTTTTAGTGGAACTATTATCGATATTAAAATATCATACTTAATAGTAATCCGTGTAATTTTTTTATTTTTCTCAAGGTCTGCTATGGTTTTATTTTCGTGAAAGATCATATCTCTACTTCTAACTATTTTTCTCTTCGCTAGTTCTTATACCTTATAACCAAATTTTTAATCATTATATCTTACAAGCACACACTATGTGACTTTACTGTTAAGCTTTAACTTTTACTTTTTTGACACATGCATGAATGCTTTACACTCAAAAACTTTTAAATGAGAGTATAAAGCATATTTTTCTGTCCACACTATTTTAGAATGTCAAAGCTCAAAGGAACTAATGGTGATTTTTAAAGCAAATAGCAGGTTATATTGATTGCTTTACCCTAGAATCGCTTTGATAATTTTACCATCCTCAATATATATCTGACTTTTTTTTATAATAGTGTGGTTCATCCTTTTAGTTACATTATTATGCTGCCTGATCCTATGCTTTGAACAATATTTTTCAAAGTCTTTGGTTATGTATTTTTTGTCATTATTAGTTCGAATATACTTTAAGGGTAACCTTGTCATCTTTTCTACCATGACATAAAATTTTTGAAAGTACTATAGTACATGACTTTTGTTTTTCAATATATCATCCTAAATCTTATATGAAGCCTCATCAATAAAAGTAATAAAATACTTACTATCTCTTAGTGACTCAGCTTCAATAGAACCACATACATTAGAATAAATCAATTCTAATCTATTTTTTTTCTCTGAGAATACTTATGAAAAGAAACTCTATGATGCTTACTATGCAAATAATGATCACATGAATTGAGAAACATACTTTTGGTGAAGAAAAAAAGAGACTACCTTGTCAAAATTTGTAACCCTTTTTCATTCATATGTGTTAACCTTTTGTGCCATATATTTGTTGAAGTATCATCCTCAACAGCATTTATCTGGTTGTCGTTCAATTACATCCATGTTTTGTATATTGTGCAGCATAATTTTTCTCTTGCAACTATCATAGATCTTTTAAAAAGTAACTACTACCATTTTTATCAACTATCATATCCTTATTTATCAAGGATATTAATCGCAAGTAAGTGCATTCTCATATTCAAAATACGTCTGACATCCCTCAAAGTCAACATGCAGCCCGTACTAATTTATACAATAATATAATCAATTTTAACAATCTGTGATATACTATTATTCTCATCTTAGTGCAACCAAAATCTTTGGCTTTATAAGTTGTAAACAACTCCCTCTTAGGAACACAATGATATAACACTTATGTATCAACTATCCACTTAATATCGAGATCACCAATATGATTACAATCATCATTTGTACAAATTAAAATAACTGAATTATAATCTGAATTCACTATTATAATATTACCATCATTTAAACTCTTACCTTTCTCATCTTTTTACTTTTGTTTTAAGATTTTGTAGTATCATTTTATATTATTAGGTTTACCATAATTGTAATATTTTTTTATCTCTAGACTTAGATCTATATTTAGACTTAGTACGACCATTTGAGTTTTGACATTTGTCGATGTTTCTACCTTTGTTATTTACGACAAGAGCTTGATTTCTAGAGTTTGAATCTTTTTACCTTATTTTATTCATTAACCATACTGTCCTTTATCATTTTCAAAGTCACATTGTAGTTAGAAGTTGAATTAAGAATAGTTACAACTAAAGTATTCCAATCGTCTGGCAATGAACCCAAAAAAAAATAAAGCTTTTATTTCATCATCCATTTTAAGCAGCATACTAGTCATCTGATTAAATATATCTTAAAAATCATTCAAGTGTTTTACAATCGATCGTCCATCCTTGTATTGTAAAATTACAAGCTTTTTAACAAGCATAGCTTTATTTATGCTTGTTTTTCTCTTATATAATGTTGCCAATTTGTCTCAAATAATGTAGTTATCTATCTTCTACGTTACATGATAGAACACGTTGATATCAACCTATTTTCTAATTGTAGCTAGCATCTTTTTACTTAATTTTTTTCAGCTTTCATCTTTTATATCAGATGATTTAGCTTAATCACCTAATACTAGTTCATACAAATTTTTATAGTATAAATGATCCTCTATTATAGGCTTTCAAATTGAATAATTTGATGCTATCAATTTTATCATAGAACCTGTATCACCTTTTATGATCTCAAGTAGAATTTACTTCTATCATAAGTTACTTCTGTATCGATGTCTTAAAATAACTAGGTTTTGATATTACTTGTTAAGCTTGAAGCAACAACACAATAAAACAAAATAATATATCGCAATAAATACATAATAATAATAACAATCAACAATATAAAAAAATAAAGTACATCAAGATTTATGTGAAAAAAATCTTTAGTGTAAAGAAAAAAAACTATAAAACACCAAAAAAATCTCTACTATTAAATAATAGATACACAAAATTTTTTTTAACTAAAATTAAAGTTGATCAATAATTAAAAAAATTATTAAAAAAATTTTATCAAATAAATAACTCAACAAATACACTATAAATTTATTTTTATAAGGCTTCAAATCTGATTTAAAATTATTTAAAATATAAAATATAAAATTATTAACTTATTAATAAAATTTTAACTCAATCAAACTAAAAATCAACTTTTGTTTAATTGATAACTTTCTGTTCTTTCTTTTCTCTCTATCATTTTTTGGTTATTTATTTTCCTCTCAATTCTCAACGTCACTTCACTTTTAACGCCTAAACAGCCCCACCTCTCTCTCTCTCTCTCTCTCTCCGTTACGTAAGGCCACCTTTTTAATTAAAATCAAAAGTCAAAAAGCACGTAACCTTTGATTGGTCAAAAGAATGGGGTTGAACCCCAAGTTTCTAACAATTATGATTTGTTAATGCATCTAAGATATTTTAAAATATTTTAAGTCTTCAATCTTAAAAGATATATTCTAACTGCTAATCAACAACTGAGAAGTTGAGTTGTCTGAATTTGATTACTTTTGGTAAACATTTTTATTTTTTATTAAAAATACATATTAAAGCATTTATTAAACAAAACTTTAAATTTAAACACATAATTATCATCCTTTTTATAAGAGGATTTAGAAATTAAAGTTCAAATCCCTTCTTTTTTACATCTTCATATGTATAAAAAGTAGTTAAATCAATCAAAATTTTGTGTGACGAATATATATTAAATTAATGAAAAAAACATTTTTTCAACCAATAGAATTGATCTAAAGAAAATGAATAAACATAAACCCTTTGAAGGGAGATGTTCGTTCAAGATATTTATAAAAAAATGAAATTAATACGTTGTTTACTCTTAAATTTAACAAGAATAATACATTAAATGATTTTTTAAATAATAATTTAACTAATCTTAACAAGTTTTATAAATAATTTTTATATGTATAAAATTAAAAGATGCATACTAATAATTTTATTTTTTTATTTGATTATGTCACCTGTTTAAATGCCTAAATAAAAAAAGTAAACCAATTATATAGACACCTATGCTATGTTACACATGCAAGAAAACTTCCAGCCAATTGCTTTTATTCCTTGTTTAATTAAATGTTTGACTTTTATCAGAGACAAAGATTGGAAACGAAAGGCGGTGGAGAAACTGGTACCCCACCATTAAAATTTCAATTAAAAAATGTCAGGTTGAAATATTAATATTATAGAATGGAGAGGGAAATTAATTTACCTATAAAATGAAAAAGAGTTTAGTGATCTCTTTGTAAAATTCAAGTCCAAAGAGTTCACATGTACAAAAAAAATATATAGTTATTCGATGCTCATAAAAAATGGCGGAAGTGAAGGAGGATCTGCATGTGCTGCCATTAAGAATGTTAGAAGAAAGTAGCAACAGCTCTTCTACGTCATCCCCAGTTGATGCGGTTGTCTTTGTTGGGATTTCTTTGGTGTTGGGAATTGCTTCCAGACATCTACTTCGCGGTACCAGAGTTCCTTACACTGTCGCTTTGCTCGTCATTGGCATTGCCCTTGGCTCTCTCGGTTCGTCTCTTCTTTCACTCTTCTTTTCCTTTTTCTTCTCCTGATGATGATCTTTTATGGGTTTGACCTTTTTTCAATTTTTTCTATCATCCATATACATCGAAAAATTTTGTTAATTTCATTTTTACCGTATCAAACGTTTCTTTCTTTCTTTTTTATTCTTGTCAGATTATGGAGCTTTTTCTTTATAAATCAAAATTCTTATGTATAGCACCTAAAAATCTTATTTATATATTTTAAGAAAAAATTATTATTATAAATAATTATTTTATGTAAGTATTTACTTATTATATGTTATACGTTATTATTATAAATTTTTTTCTTATTATAATTGTAAATTTTGATTTTTCAAGGATAAAATAATTTTTAATAAATATTTTAATATGTTATTAATTAAGTAATTTAAAAAAAAAGATATTCATTTTTCAAATTAATGAATCTAAGTTGTATTATATTTAAAACTCAAAGATAAGATTATATTCTACTGTTTATACTTTTATTTTTTGTCCTTTAATCATGGTTTTTACCATTTCATAACAAATGCTTTGCTCTATATTTCTTTATTCTTTTGTTGTCCTCTGTAGAAATTATTTACTCATTATGGGTGATTCCTAACCGTGCAGAATACGGTACAAGTCATAAATTAGGAAAGATTGGTGATGGCATTCGTCTTTGTAAGTTTCAAGAACTTCTTCTTGTTCTCTTCTTTTGACAAATTTAAGATAGTTTTTATCTGAAAAGGTATATCTAGTTTATCCAGAATTAACTATGAAACTAAGTGTTACTTCTAATTTGCAGGGAAGAGTATTGATCCTGACCTTTTATTAGCTGTTTTTCTTCCTCCCTTACTTTTTGAGAGTGCCTTTGCAATGGAAGCGCACCAGATAAAGGTCTGTATTTGCTACCTTGGCTTATACGTACATCAGACTACTCACATTCACTGGGCAACAAAAAAAAAGCATGCTTCTAAACGCCAGTCATTTGAGTTCTTGCATTCAAAATCCTCTGTTCTATCCAACTGGTGTAGTGCATGCACAAAAACAGACAAACTGACACCAACTACGCTGTTCTTTTCTCTACGTAATGAATGGTAGGTACATTTATAGAAGTTCTAGGTAGATTTGGGGGTTTTTAATAGCTACAACCAGGGTTGTTTACTAGGATCATGCCTGGTTGTAAAGGGGAGCATTAAGTGGTGTTATTGGATATAGGTAGAATTGGGGGGTTTTTATTGGCTTTACCTTCAGTTGGGCTTCTCAACTTATAGCTGAGTGGTTTTAGTTGGATGCTTGTTACCTTCTACTCAAACTCAGCATACAAGGCACCTTATGTAAAAATCTTAAAATTTGTAGCAGATTGAGGACCTCTGAAAGGAAGATTGTGAATTGCTAATCCTCATTCTTCTCTCCTATAGGTTGTTTTGTCTGAATCAAAGCATTTTTTTCTCTAATTTTTGCTTATTTACTTGCTTCATTTATCACCCTTTTTTATGTTTTGGACTTGGAGGAAAAGGAAAGGGGAGGAAATGGAGAGATAGAAGAGAAGGGGGAAGGATAGGGTATTACTAACTCTCTATTCCTTTATGCTTACCTTCCTTCCCCTCAATCCCATTAAAGTGTTAGTCTTTATTCTCTATTTTTTTAGTTTTCATCCCCTTTCTGTGTGCATATGGAATGTTTTAGTTTATTGCTAACTACTTATGGTTTTAGACTTGCTTTAAAGGGTTTTCTTTATTCTGTACTTTGATTCACCACCTTCGGTTGATTTTTATTTTTCTTTCAGTAAAAGGGAGGATTGCTGAACTTTTTTCCTGTTACCTCAGCTGGTGTATGTTTGTAACATTATGCCATCCAATAGGCTATGACTTAAAACATTAATGGACTTTGAAAAACTGTTGCTTGTATGTTAACAGAGGTGTATGGCACAAATGATTCTGCTCGCTGGTCCAGGAGTTCTTATTTCAACCTTCTGTCTTGGATCTGCTCTGAAGGTATTTTACCTTTTTTGCTTAGAAAATTGATTTTTTTTTTTAATTTTGTAATTTACTTTAGCTGTATTTACCTTCCAGCTCACTTTTCCATATGAGTGGAATTGGACAACATCACTGTTGCTTGGGGGACTTCTGAGTGCTACTGATCCTGTGGCTGTTGTGGCTTTGTTGAAGGAGCTTGGTGCAAGCAAAAAACTGAGCACTATAATTGAAGGAGAATCCTTGATGAATGATGGGTATTTTACGTATTTAGAAATTTATTCTTTTATCTTTTTGTATTATGCTGTATGAAACACTCTACCTATTACCTGATGTATCAGATTATGTGAAGCCTACATGTTGCTTAAATATATCAAATGTTTCAATGTTGTTTCATGATTTCTTTTACATGTTTTGTAGCTATAATTGTGGTTAATTTGTGTGTCCAGGACAGCAATTGTGGTCTATCAGTTATTCTATAAAATGGTCCTTGGACAGAGCTTTGGTTGGGGTGCCATTATTGAATTTCTGGCCAAAGTCTCACTTGGAGCGTAAGTATCATTCATTTTCCTTGAACAACTGTGATAGATGATGCTCTGGTTTTAAGACCCTCTTTTGGTTTCAGTGTAGGCATCGGTATTGCTTTTGGGATAGCATCTGTTTTGTGGCATGGATTTATTTTCAGTGATACAGTGATTGAGATTGCATTGACGCTTGCTGTGAGCTACATTACTTACTTCACCGTATGTTCTCTCCTAACTTTTTGACACCAGTTTGAAAAGTCTCTTTCATTAGCATTTCAATCACATACCCATTACTGCAACCCCTTATAAAATTATTAATGATAACTCAAGGTTTCTTAAATAGGAGCTTCAAATCACAAATCCAGATTGAAGAGCTGAATCTTGAGCCTCAATAGCTGTTTAGCTTCTTTTTTTCTTCTTTAGCTGATTATCTCCCTATGTTCTCTTGAAGTTTTTGGTTTCATTGACCTGTTCACTTCCTTTTTTGCTCTGGTTATGACAGATAAGAGATTGCATAATGTTGAGGATTCTTTTCATTTTTTTTAAATTTTGCTCTCAATGCACTTATTTAAGTAACTGAGCTGCCAATCTTATATTGTTATATAAGCCAGAAACAGATTACATGATAGACAAACAATATCAGGTTAAAAAAGTCATGAGAAACAATCAAATCTTAAGTTGTGAGGAAGTCATGACTCTCCTACATTGAGGTCCCAAGTTTAAATCCCCCTCCTCCAAATTAACAATGAAAATGTAAAATAAGAAAAAAAAAGAAATGTGTGGTTCAAAACTTTTTTTCCTTTTCAATTGTATTCATCTTCTAGGGAGTTCTATAGGAAGAAGTCATTCATTTTTTCTCAGTTCTCACATGCTAAAGTTTTAACCATTAGCAAATTAATTCTAGCATCATGATTTTTTATATTTGTGTTCAGAGACTATCTATTTATCACCAAATTTGTCTTGTTCTTAACAACTTTTTTCCATCAGTTTATTTTCTAATATTTTTTCTTGAGAAAGATGCATCTTTCTATGCATAATCAGTTAAAAAATTGTCAAATCTCATAGCATATTGCATACACCAATTTATTACTTGAAAGAGCTTTATGGACAAGAACTTAATATGCATTTTATGTTATAGGCTCAAGAAGGTGTTGATGTTTCTGGTATTCTGGCAGTGATGACTTTAGGCATGTAAGTAGAACAGCTCTACATGATTCCTTTGCTAATTCAGATAAAACAGATCTCTTGAAGTTATGATTGATGGGCAGGTTTTATGCTGCTGTTGCAAAGACAGCCTTTAAGGGCGATGGTCAGCAGAGCTTGCTTCACTTTTGGTATGCCTTGTGCCTTTCTAGTTTTCTGTAATATCCTGTCTGATCAATGATTTCAATGCTGAAAGTGGATTATACCGCCTTTTCTAATGTCTGAATTATTTTGTTGATAAAAAAAAAGGAATAAAAACCATTCACATTATGCTGTGCAGTGCCTATTGTGACTGCTATTAAGATGAGATGTCTTATTGGCTGTAGATTCATCTTTGATTTATTGAGATATATGTAATATGTTAGCTAAAATAAACTTCTTGGACACTTTACCTTAACTTTTTTATCATCTTTCTTTTTCCTTCTTCAGGGAAATGGTTGCTTACATTGCAAATACATTAATTTTTATCTTGAGGTAACCCCTTGCTTTAGCCTCTAAGGTCCTTTATCTTGTAATTTAACTCATTGCTGACTCATATATATATATATATATATATATATATATATGTATATATGTGCAAAGATTATAAACGAGAACCTTGTAGAATTTTGTCCATTCCAAAGTAGACTGTTGATTTACTTCTTGTTTCCTTAGCTGGTATTATGGTGTTGTTTTATTTTTATTTTTGAGTCAATTATTTGTTGAGAAATAATACAAGTTCTGAATTCTCTACCATTAAAGTTCAAATTTAGAACCTTATACAGTTCTGATTTGATATGTAGTTGCTTTGAAACTTAGAAATGATTCAAATGAATGTAGCTGGTTGAAGTAGCTAGAAAGGTTAGGATAAGCCCTCAAGGTGAGACTGGATACAAGATATCATAAATAAATTTGAAGCATCATGCCTAAAGGTCTTAGACCTAAGTCATTACATATAAGGAGATGGATGTCACTGCTTACAGTAGAAAATGGTTTCAAGAGCTTGTGTTTTTCAGAGCATAATAGTATAAGGCTATAAGCTTTCTAAATTATCTGCTTCAAGAGAGCAAAGACATCTAAAATACCTTTATGAAACTGTATGAAGATGTTTCCAACAGTATAAGCCACCAGTTTTACTCATCCATAACATGAATAAGGAAGAAGACAGTACTTCTTTGATTGTGAACACCTTTGAAGAAGTGGTGAAGTCATTTCATGGCATTCTTTGCCATTAACCTACTAGAAATTCATGAAGTTTGTTCCAACATAGAATTTGTCTGAAGAGGAGATTTGAATTGTGAATACTTAAGATTTTTTATTTGGAAAATGAAGTCTTTGGTCATTTTTTTTTTCTCTGCGAAAGAAAAGAAATGAACAAAAATAGTTTTTCTGATGTAAAAGATGGTTGGATATCCCCATTACACAAAGCTTAACGCTTTATGTAGGAGAGTAGTTCAACTGATGGAATCTCCTAAATTCACTAGGAGGCTTAAAAGGAGTTCATTATCATACTTTAACTACATAGAAATTGGCAACGGGCCATCTCATTCTCATTTGCATATATCTTTTGTGTCTTTTTGTTGGCCTATACATATATATCTATTATTTAAAATCTGATCATCATGACAGCAATCAATGTATCAAGATAACTGATAGAGTTGTATATTAAAATCAGACTAGCAAGAAGACTAGATACACATGGGGTCAAAGATCTTTTATTCCTGTAACAGCTTTAGAAAGGGAAATTTTTTCTTCATTACTTTCTTTCACTCAATGAACTATGACATTTGAATGAAAAAAGTATCTTATATCAACTAAGATTTTTTATTTTTTTACTTTTGCAGTGGAGTTATTATAGCTGAAGGCGTTCTTGGCAATTATAGGATAATTGAGAACCATGGTATTGTTCAGTTTTTGTTGGTCAATTTAGAAGAAATTAATTTTCTTTTCATTCAATTTGAAATCAATAATGAATTGCTGAGCTTAATTGGATGCGTGAAAGAAAGGCACATGGACACACACATACAGAGGGGAAGGGAGGAGTGAGTGTAAGAAGAATGCTCGTGGCTGTTTCAAATCATTCACATAATGCTGATTGATTTTAGTATAGGCATGATTGTAGTGGTCCAAGGCTAAAAATGCCAAAGAAAGAGATTTAAAAGAGGGAAATTCACTATGTGGGACAAAATGAGTTTCTAAAATTGGATATTACACTTAATTTTAATACCTGTTTTTTAGCAACAAGCATACCAAAAAAAAAAGTGATTAAAAATAAAAAAGACTGCTAAAGGATATATAGAAAGCTAAGAAATTCACTATGTGGGAAAAAATGAGTTTCAAAAATTGGATATTAGACTTATTTTAAGTACCTTTTTTAGCAACTAGCATACAGGAAAATTGATTTAAAAAAACCTACTAAAAGATACATAGAAAACTAAGAGAGTGAAGAAACATGTCATCATCAACTTACAGATCTTACTGATTAGTTTAAAGACACTATGATGCTGAATCTGTCCTATATTACCCTATAAAAGAAAGCACATTAAGCTCTATCAAGTTGGCACTTAAGGACATGTTCACCAGCCTTGAACTTTTTTTTTTTTTTTGTAATGCCTAAATTTAATTGTTCTATTAAGGATTTTGGATATCTGGTACTCAAATAATGCTAGTTTGTACACTTTTCATATGGAAAAGGAGTAATATTACTGTTTCCATGCACTTTTAATATTTTATTTTAGTTGGCAAAGTTTGTCAATTAACCATCTTCCAACATATTTTCTCTAGTGACTGATATTTTAATTATTGAATAAAGAATGTTTTATACTATTACTTGCAGCTCCTTGCTTTTTATCATCTTCTCTTGAAATTGCTTGTACATACTTTTCAAGTCTTTTTATGTTTTCACTACATGATAAAATTCCACAACTCTCATGGTTGTTATCTCTTTATGTCTACCCAATTAAACAATTTTTCTGTTAAAGAAACATCATAAATCTGTTTTATCTTCAGGATATTCATGGGGTTATCTGATTCTTCTTTACGTCTTTGTGCAAATATCACGTTGCATCGTTGTTGGAGCATTATATCCATTTTTACGATATTTTGGATATGGATTGGATTTAAAGGAAGCCACCATCCTAATATGGTCAGGGCTCCGAGGGGCAGTGGCATTATCACTTTCTCTATCCGTTAAGGCAAGTTTGCATGGGTTTACATATTTGCTTATTTGTTTACATATTTCTATTTTACATGAATTCAACGTCTTGATGGCTGATATTAAATGCTTAGAATTGGTGTTGAATGTAAAATTTTGTGGCATTAATTTACACATTTCTTTGATTATATATGATTATAAGTTTGTTATGGGCCAAAATGTGAGCTAGTATTGAAACTTTTATATGGTTTCTTTAGGATTTTCATGTTGCATAGCTTTTCTTTCTAAGTAATTAACTGGCCAAAGGTGAGCATTGTAACACATCCTTCTCAATGTATAAAGCAAACCAAATGTACTATTATCCATATGCGTTTCTATGATTTCTATCATAGTAAGGTATCTTTTATGTGTTAATAGTGATTTAATTTTATTTTGGTTGAATTCTTGATTGCTTGTAGCGTTCCAGTGACAGCTCAACAAAAATCAGTTCTGAAACAGGAAGCCTGGTGAGTATTTTTGCAACACGCATCCTGATCATATTGTAATGCTTAGATGCTTCATGGGTATATAAATGGAAAATCATATTGATATTATTAACTTACTGCAGTTTATTTTCTTCACTGGTGGAATTGTATTCTTGACACTTGTTGTGAATGGATCAACTACACAGTTCATTTTACATTTCCTAGATATGGATAAACTATCAGAAACAAAGGTACGCTCAATTACTTCCCTGAATATTTTGAGTTCCCCTCTCACATGTCATGCTGGTTGCTCTATATTTTAAAGAATAGAATTTGTGTTGCATGATTTTGATGGACGGTAGTGAGCTTATTGCATGCCACTTTTAGCTGAAATTCTTGCTGGAATAGAATCTAGGCTAGTGGTTGGGTGAATGTCTAAAATCTTTTTCAAAACTGCTTTATTGAGCATCCAACCCAAAATCAATATGCAATGGGTGGAGAGGTCCAACCTAAATATATGACCATGCATCTAATGTAAAATCAATTGGCAATAGATAGAGCAGCCTGACTTGAATATTTGGCTAAATCAAACTCAATACTTTAACTGATTTGGAGTAGTACCAGTGTACCACTAAGAAATATATCATGCTGAAATTCTTCAATGACAACTCCAATGGCATAAAAGGGTGATAATGTTATTTTATGAAACCAATAAATCTTTTAGTAATTTTGACTGAGATGTAGTCAATGATAAAGATAATTAAAATGCTACACCACTGTTAAAGGAAAAAAACTGGAAAAAAATGCACTTTTCCTAAATGGTCAATCTGGCAATATTTCTGAAATTCATAAGTAATTGTAATTTATACTTAGTTCAAATTCACTTATTATATCATGTTAAACTTTTGTGTTAGACAGAGAAGAATAAGTAAAATATACATTGCATCTTTTGATGCAAGCATAAAATATGTGCACAATTATTACAGATATGGGTTGTTTTAAAAAACTTCCCTATATTTTCCTTGCAAGGTATTTGGTCTGAGTTCAGTAGTCTAAACTTGCCTTTTGTATGCTTGATATACATGTTATGGATTTTTTCCCTATATTTTCGTGTAGTTTTATCTTTTCCATCACTTTGGTTGTAAGATTCCATTTTTGATTTTGCATTTACATTTGCTTCTACATGACAGAAGCGTGTACTGGACTACACAAAATATGAAATGTTGAACAAAGCATTAGAGGCTTTTGAAGACCTTGGAGATGATGAGGAACTTGGACCTGCTGACTGGCCTATGGTAAAAAGATACATTGCAAGCTTAAACAATTTGGAGGGGGACTGTGTGCATCCTCATACTGCATCTGAAGCTGATAATAACCTGTACCGTTCAAATCTGAAAGATATAAGAATACAGCTTTTAAATGGTAAATACCTCATTTTCTTTTAGTCTTGCTGCTTAATCATTTTATCATTTGTGCACTGATTGTCAATGCAAGTGTGCTTCCTGTCTTCCTGTCATTGATGCATTTATCCTCTGGGAACTGGATTTTTCTGTCAAGAGCATGAACTCCTATTTGCTAGCTTTTTCCTCTGTATCTTCATCTTTTTCTTTTCACTTCTTAATGACACTAGCTTTTATATATTCTTTGTGGATGGGATACCATGGATTGAGGTTGTGGTTCTTATATAGCATGTACAAAGACTTTTGGTGCTTTCAATTACGGATGTCTCACCAATCAGTTTTATTTCTTAACTCACTGCAGAAATTCATGTTTATTTATCAACTTTTGGGATCCTCTGGTGTTTTCCATGAGGATTTCTCTGATCACTATATTTTGAGAATTGTCATGTAACTGGCTACAAGTTTTATTGCATTTAATTATTGCCCTGAAATGGCTAACCCTGCTAGCATGCTGTTCAATATTAAAATCTGATTCAAGTCAAATAAAATTGTTGCTTAATAGTTTGTGACTTTGTGCTATAGAATGCTACTTACTCTCTTTGGAAGTAAGTCCTTAGCTAATTTGAGTACTGAAAATTCTTGAAGCAGGTGTCCAGTCAGCTTACTGGGGAATGCTTAATGAAGGGAGAATTACACGAAGTATAGCAAATCTTTTGATACAATCTGTAGATGAAGCTATTGATGTGGCATCTCATGAACCTTTATGTGATTGGCAGGGCTTAAAATCTAATGTTCATTTCCCAAATTATTACAAGTTTACAAGCAGGTTCCTACAAAAATTAGTCACATATTTCACTGTGGAAAGACTGGAATATGCGTGCTGTGTTTGTGCTGCATTTCTTCGAGCTCACAGAATTGCACAACGGCATCTTCATGAGTTTATAGGTAATAATCTTCCTGTGACATAGCCTATTGGCTTTCTTTTCAATGTTCTCACAATTTCTTTCTCTCTATTTAGTTTACTTGAATTTATTACTTTTCGAAAATATAGGCTCCCAACTTCCAAATCATCTTTTTAATATTTTAGCTTAGAAACTATGTCAAATTTTGGGACATATTGCATGCAGAATTATATGTACGTGACAATCATTTGCATGGCTTAATTCTCAGGGCTTTATCTCTTGCTAAAGATGTTTATGGACCTTTTTTTAGAAAGAAAGTGAAAGCTGAAGGAAAAACAAATCATTTTGTGAATGTTTGGTTTTTGAAGGAAAAACTTCTCTGCCTTGACTTTACCTCCATTGGAAAATGGCTATGAAATCAATGGATTTAGTGATGAGGTACACAAATATTCTCAATGAAACAAGAATAGAAAGAAAGAGAGTTTTACTTTTATTATCCCCCCCCCCCCCCCGATAACCAAATGGGACATATGCAAAAAGAATTCATCTCTATAAAGCCACCTGCCCTTCTACTATGTGTGGCTGAGTTGAGTGTTGTTGTGTAAAAACAATGAACTTGGGGTTCAGTTGCATGGTAGAGCAAAAAAGAATTTCCATTTTTTGCTGTGTATGTGTGCATGCACCAGCTCATGTTTTAGAAGAGGGAGACATGTATGTCATTGGGATTTGGGGCATAGTACTTTGACTATCAGTTTTTGTTTTTAAGTGTTTTTTCATGCTCTTGTTTTTTATGTTTCATAGAATTGAAATTTGATACTTTCCATCACTACTAGAAAGCTAGGTGGATGGAGTACAGGTGGTAAGTTTAAAGAAAGCAGCAGTTCATGAAGAAACCGTATATCTATGAAAGACTATCTTTCTGTAAATCAGTTTTCTTTCTATATTCTCAATATGATCACTAGAGTAATCCAATCTTTTGAAACAGCTTGTTTTTTTCTTATGAATTCACTTCTGTCTAGGTGAAAGTGATATTGCTTCTACTGTTATTAATGAAAGTGAGGATGAAGGAGAAGAGGCAAAAAAGTTTTTGGAAGATGTCCGTGTAATTTGTCCTCAGGTTTGTCAACCATATCCAATTATATTTATCCAATACCCTTTCTCATCTCAATCTCCATATATATATTTTTTTATCTTAGAAAGAGCATTTTCAGATTAGCGGGATGACTGTATTATTGTACAGTGTCTACTTCAGGCATATTAAGCTGTATTAAAAATGTGTTCAGGTTTTGCGTGTCATTAAAACAAGACAAGTGACATACTCGGTACTGAACCATTTGATTGATTATTTACAAAACCTTGAGAAGGTTGGGTTACTGGAAGAAAAAGAGATGCTTCATCTTCATGATGCTGTCCAGGTAGCTTTTGGTGATGTTTGTCTAATTGCATGATTAAGGTGGCTTGTTCTCTTGATTTTGTGATACACTAATGATATGAAATAATATTTTTCCTATCGTGTTCTGCAGACTGACTTGAAGAAGCTCTTAAGGAATCCTCCCTTAGTGAAGATTCCAAAAATAACTGACCTGAAAAGTGTCCATCCTTTATTAGGGGCCCTTCCTTCTACTGTCTGCAAACCACTAGAAGGTTCTACGAAAGAAATAATGAAAACACGTGGTATGACACTTTACAAAGAGGGCTCCAAACCAAATGGTATTTGGCTTATTTCAAATGGTGTTGTCAAGGTACCTGATATTTATGCATGCAAGTCAGAGCTTAAGAATTCTTCTTAAATATAATTTCAGTTTTTCTTCGAAACATGTCATGAGTTTGAAAATGTCATTTGGCAGTGGACAAGTGAGAGCATAAGCAGCAAGCACTCACTGCATCCAACTTTTACTCATGGGAGTACTTTGGGCTTGTATGAAGTATTAATTGGAAAGCCATACATCTGCGACATGATCACAGATTCTGCGGTTCTCTGTTTTTTTATTGAAAGGGGCAGATTACTTTCAGTGCTAAGGTCAGATCCTGCAGTAAAAGATCTTCTATGGCAGGTAAAATTATTGCTAATAATTTGGCTGTTGAATTCTGGTAACTGTAGCATACAAATGTGAATTTGACGAAGTGTAATGGCTTTGGGACCGTATGTTCTAACTCATCACTTATTGGTCTCATTTGCAATTTCAGCTATCTTGTTTGTCTTTTATAGTTGGTTTAATAAAATTCTCTTTTTTTCTGTATTTTTCCCCCTTCCAGGAAAGTGCTATTCTCCTTGCCAAAATCTTGGTTCCTCAAATATTTGAGAAAATGACATTGCAAGATTTAAGAGCTCTTGTGGCACAAAGCTCATTAATGAAGACATACATTGAAGGGGAGAGAGTAGAAGTGCGTCACCAATCCATTGGCTTCTTGTTGGAAGGATCCATAAAGCCTTTCAGTGTTCAAGAACTCATCACACCACCTGCAGCTCTTTTGCCTTCACATGGGAATCAAAGTTTCTTGAATGCAGATATTTCAGGTAACTTCATTGTCCTTGTTATCATATTATATGTTCCTTAAATACCAATCTTTTTTTTTTTTTTAATGTTGATTTCTGTCCTATGCATGGAACCTTTAACAAGAAGTTAAAGTTTCCTGGAAAAAAACCACTGTTGCTATCCTTTTTTTCCCCTTTTTAAGGTCTAGGAAAATACTAAGAAGTAATGAAGTAGAATGATTGGTCTAGTTCTAGTATCAATAAATGCAAGAATATGGAGACTTATGCATGAGCATGATAGACAAGAATATTTCTACAAGACTTGATTTAACTATCAGAGCAAAAGTTCATGAAAGATAACAGGATTCTAGACAAATGCTAGATGTCAAAAGGCCATTTAAAGAGTTTCAAGAAGATGACTTTAGGCGCTCTTCTTGGATAACATTTGGGTTTCAAAAGTTATACAGGGTATAAATTTTATTACCATAGGGATTGTAAACTTTGGCTATAGAAGAAGAACATGTTGGTCTCATGGATTAGTGAAACTTGCTTGGAAACCAAGTGGAGGAATGTGGGATGAGATAGCATAAAAAATGAGTGGAGTAGAATGGAATAGGAGTGATAGAGAGGAGGATTGAAGTGCACCCTGAAGGGCAGAATGCTGTGGCAGGTGCATAAGGAGGCAGACTCAGTAGGTTGATAAGAAGTGTGCAGTAGAAACTTGGATGCAAGAGGCAGAGGAGAGGAATGTATAGGCCAAGGGGTGTAGTTAATGCCTCCAATAGGATGCCAGATCATTCTTATTACGTAAGTAGTCGTAGCATTATAAAGTTCATAGGGTTCATTATGTCATCACAAGCCATAACAAATAGTAATAATCATGGTCAATTTTTGGTCTAGGAGGGATGGGAAAGAATAATTATAATATTCTAAACATCTGACCTTGGTGACACATTTCAATGGAACTGCATGACGGTTCCAATCAAGATCTAAGCAAAAATCATAAAACTAGGATAAGTTTTTGTGTCTCATAGAAACAGGTTTGGTAATGGTCACACTTTGGAATATATCTCTCACTGTATATAATAGATAAGATAGTTGATGTATTTTTAACAATATGTTAATTCTTATCTTCAGTTATTACATAAAAGATGTTGAAAATGTGATTGCTGGAGAATATTTTTTCTGATCATTGGGAGTTAAAAAGATTAGTGGCTGCCAACCTTAGTTATAGTTGGTTCTCAAAGGATAAAAGTTTATTGGTTCCATAGTGCATATTTTGGATTGTGAGGCCAATTAATGAATATTTTGCTAAGTTGATTTGGCCGGCCTTCCAGCTTTTCATTGGACACAGTTGATGAATGATGAATGAACTTTAGTAAAATATTAGAAGTTGGTATAATGAGTTGTATATGAAAACAAACAAATTCCAAAATTTCAACGATCCATTTTGAGTTCTGTGATAAAATAATAAACTGCACAGACACTTGAATGCAGAGAAAAAGGGAAGTATGCTGTCGACATGCTAAAAAAATATGGCCCCCAGGTTGAATCATCTAACTCACCTTTTACGTTCGTCAAATTTAATGATGGAAATTTTAATTAATATCACAATATAACCCCCTATGTTAGATTAATTGGGCCAAATGGAACTTAATTGCTATTCTATAAATTCAAGTAGTTTATACTCCTCTTTGCAGTAAAGAAAACCAAGTATGACTACTGATGTGTAATGAAACCAGGTGCCACAACAGCCAGTTTTTCTCATCAGCAATCCAGGTTTCAGTTTGAGACTAGGGGAAGCACAATGTATCAAGCTGAGACAATAGAAAGAGCAAGAGTAATTATTTTTTATATTGCAACACTTGAAGCTGATAGAGTTCTGCAGAGAAGTTCATCCTCATTTAACCATTCACATAGAACTTTAAGTAGAAAACATGAAGGTCTTATGAGTTGGCCTGAACATTTCAACAATGCAAGGCAACATATGCAAAATCATGGAGCAACTGATCTACAAGCAAACAGATTGTCTGAAAGAGCAATACAGTTAAGCAACTTTGGCAGCATGGTATGTCAAGTGGAAGAATTGATATCTTCTAAGTCGAAATTCACCATTGTCTTTTAAATTGAACTGTATATTGGCAGGCAGGAGTATGTTTCCTCTCTTTATTATAGGCTTTTGTTTTTGGATCTAACTGCACTTTTTATGTTACAATGACAAGGTTTATGTGCCACGGCCTAGCCTTTCACATCGTAGAGTTCGTTCATACCCTGGCTATCCATTTTTTCCCGTCAGATCAGAAGGATCTGCTACTCTAAGGAAGAATCCAGAAGCAAGAAAGTTTACAGGACGAGTTCCCCCAGCACAAGTGAAGGATTCTGACACAAAAGAGGGCCATGTAAATGATGATTCTAGCGATGAATCTGTTGCTGAAGATGAAATCCAGATAAAAATTGATTCACCTAGCACACTATCTTTCCACCAGGCTTCTTGAAGGTCTGTTTATGTCCTCATTTTGCATGGTTGTGATTTCTTCATTACTGTTGTATCATATTATAGAATACTGTCAAGTGACTTTATGTGAAACATAGTAAGTAATCTGGCTTCTGCCTGGAGCTAGTATCTGTAGTTTTGTCACGAATGGCAGCTTGGTTCAATCTCTCTCGCCTCTTTGTTCCTCCATTGAACTTTAGTGGTCAATAAACTCTTATTATTATTATTATTGTTGATATTGTTGTCGTTGTTTCTTTTGTTGCAATATAATAGTATCTGGCAAACAATAACAGGAGAGTGCATTTGGTTTGAGAGAAAATTAGATTATCTTTGAAATTTTATTTTTCGTAATTTGATTTATGCATATAATTTACAGTATCTAATTCTTGTGGATATTCTAATATTTTTAACTGTGTCCAAATATTTTGAAATCAGAAATCTACTTTTGTTTTTATAGATTTTTAAGATTTTGGAAGGAAAGTTGATTTTATCTCACATTTGACTTTAATAATAATAATTTTTTTTTATTTTATCTTTGAAAATCAATGTAATTGTATAATAAATATAGATCCATTTTGACACGAAAATGATTATTCATAACCATAAGATTGGATAAATGTACAATTTTACTCAATTGAATACATAATATATTACATAAAATAAAAACATTTTTAAAAGACCAAATATAATAGATAAGTGCAATTTTAGGTTTTTTAATTTTTTTTTATCTTTAAAAAATTATATTTTTTTATATATGAAATATAATAGATCAATAAAAATAAAAATAAAATAAAATAAATATATTTATATCAACAACGTTTTTTAAGGTTAAAAACATAATAATTGATATAATATTATAATATAGTATTTATGATACTTTTAATATGTTTTTTTATGTGAAAAACATAGTATTTACTAATTAGATAAATTTATGCATATCAATAACTACATTTTTTGTTATAAAAACATAATCATTGAAATAAAATTATAAACACAACATTTTTTATTGAATGTTTTAATTATATTTTTTACATTAAAAACGTAATATTTAGTTTAATTAATCATGTTTTTTACATAAAAACGTGATTTTTGACAAATAACAAAGGTCACATAGGATGGCAATCAGTCTTTACAAATTACAAGTTAATGGAAATTTAGGGATGCCTGAGATGAACTGCAACCTCAAGGAATCTGCTTTTGCATTTCTTAGCTACGAGAAAATTATCTATTGTCATAACATAAAAGAATCGTTTATTGTCAAAAATCCACACTTGCCCAAAAATCAATTTCTCTCCTCCTAAAATTATTTTTAGTTATTATTTTGATTTACCTCTCATGATAACTATCTTGTTTTCAACCGTGTTTAAGATAATTAAAGAACAATTATCTAGACAGCCTTTCTATGTGTAAACCAATAATGGGAATAACCATTTAAATAAAAAATTAGTAAATGATTTTAGTTTTCCATTGGAGCTTATCCTTCATAGGTGAATAAGGGAAATTGCATTAATGTTCAGAGAGCTGTTCTAACTAAAATACTAAGTTTATGGCAACGATGGGCAAGTCCTGTTGGTCTTGGAAACCAAAATGCTGAATGGAACCCATCTAAATGCTCCCCTGACTAATCATGAATAAGAGGAGCTGGTTTTTTGAACTTCTTGAAAATTTTCTAGTAAAAACTGGTATAATTACTAGTATGAAATAGCTTTGTAGATATTGGGAAATGAATCAACCCACAATCCGATACAGCTTGGTCAAAGCTTTAACTTATACAGTAAATTTTTCCAGGCAAGTAAACTTCCATTTTTATGTGCCTGTTACGATCACTTCTTTCAAGCCTTGTAAAACATTCCAACCTCAAGTCGCTGTTGCAGTGGCACCCCAAGAGCAGGCAGTGCAGACCTACAGTTATTGTGCAACACTTCATAAAAGGCAAGCATGAATCTGTCAAACAAGCTGGTATTCTTGCCTATGTAAAACCTTGTCCTCCCTCGAACATGGATTACACCAGCGATTTTCTCCTGTCTCAATTCAGAGATCTCTTGAACCTGTGAAGGATCGCAAGGTAAACGACTAGAGCAGTTTTCTGTGCGATCGATAACTTCACTAACAAAGTCATCACCTCCAAGGTTTAGGAAATCAGCATAACCATACTGAATCACACATGCATAAACTCCTTGAAGGCCTAATTTTTCTACCACAATCCTCTCTTCTGGAGCAACTTTAGGAACCAGTGAATATCTAAGTGTTGTAAAAATAGTGACCTTGTGAAGCGATCTCATACTTTTAATATAATGTTCCAGGATGGGAGTCATTCCGTCCTGTATATTTGTGTAAAAGAAGCACAATCCGGGAACCCTTTGCACCTCTGGGTCAGATAATAGCATTCTAAGTCTTTCCAAGTCAATCTTGTGAGTTAGTTCGTACTCAATCTTCCTCTGTCTCCCATAGTACCAACCAAACATAATGAAGGCAAGAATAAAAGATATGGCAAATGGAATCCATCCACCTTCAGAAATTTTGGTCAAAACGGCACTCACGTAGACGCCTTCCATTGTAAAAAAGACGATGAAGTAGAGTGCAACCAGCAATGGTGGCGTTCTCCATATAATGATCATGACCAGTGTCAGCAATATGGTTGTGATAAGCATGACTAGACTAACAACAACACCTGAAAGCAAGATCTTAAAAATTAGCATGATCCATTGTAAAAAAGGAAATGTTGTTTTGATGCTTCTTAGGTTAAATATATATAGCAAAAAGGATTTCATATTTGAACTGAAAGAAGAAGAATAATATATCGGAAACACCATTGCTGATGGAAAATAACAACAATGCTTCACTTTAGTTAGTATTAGCCACTATTATTCGATTTATATGTTACCGGTGAGATGAGATGTTATAAGTGCCAGAAAATTGGTTAAAAACCAGAAAACAGCTTGTTAAAATTTTAAGCAATTAATAATAGCTGATGAATGCAATAAAAAGCGAACTGTCGAAGGTTTGTTTTACCATACCAAAAGCATTGCCGATATCTTGTCCATCTCCAAATATAAGTATAACAGCAACACAAAAAACCATAAGGATGTAATTGACTTCTGGAGAGTACACTTCTCCCTCTTTTTTGGAAGATGTGTGCACCACCTTGACCCGAGGAAAGTAATCCAGTACAACAGATTGCTTGATCACAGAAAAGGTTGCTGATATAAGTGACTGACTTGCCACAATTGCAGCCAATGTGGCTATTATAAAGATAGGCCAGTAAACTGTTTTTGGTATAAACTTGTAAAATCCATCCATATGATCGTTGGGATTCTTGATCAGATATGCTGTTTGTCCCGCATATGTCAGAACCAGTGATGGATATATTGTAAATATGAAAGCCATCTGTGGGAAGGATTAAGAAGGCCATTTTAGTAGACACATAAAAGGAAGCCTAAGAGGTGGTACAAGTTATATATAATTACCTGAATGGAACTTCTGTTAAAATGACCCAGGTCTGCAAACAATGCTTCAGAACCTACATAATATTTCAACCAGATAAAAGGGTATTAAAATCAGTTTCATGTTTGAAAAAAGTTTTAAACGAGACAAGGCAAATAAATGTCTATGTTTCCTGATCCATCAAATTTGCGGTCAAAGATGAAAATGGTTGATGATGAAACTGAAGAATTTATCTGACCTCTTTAACTGATGTAATTCATTTTCTACCGTCAAATTTTAGTCTCTACTCATGTCTATACACTTATGCTCCTATTCTTCTCTCCTCAGTTAAAAGGGATGTGACTGGACATTGGAGTCACCTTCTGGACAACTTGAAGCCTTTACACGTTATGAAAAGAAAGAACCAGGGTGAAATCATGAATGTAACTTATCACATGTTATGATTGTATCCCAGATCATCAAATCAGCATTCACATCTAGTGGCTGACTAATGTTACCCAGCAATATTTATTCCTTCCCGTCATTTTAAATTTCCTTGAAAGATATATTCAAGGTTTATAACCATAATATATTGTGTGCAGGTAGTGGTTTGCGTTTGCCATGCTCAACAACTGGATAAATCTCACAAGTAAACAAATATGATAGAACAACCCAGTAGCTTATTTACCAATGATGACATAGAATTTAAGTACTAAAAAATTACCTGTGATGCAGAGGATGGTACCGCCAAGCATCAGCCAGCCCTTTTTTCGATTTCTCAGAAAGAAATGGACAATGTAGTGTGGTGATAAAGCCTTGAATATGCTGGGGTAGTGATGTATAATGCTATAAATGCCAACAAGCGGAGTGCTCAAGGTCCAGGCACCCATGATAGGGGAAAACATAAAACTCACTCGAGAGGTTCCAAATTTCTGCAGCAGGAATAAAATGACAAGAACTACTGCAGAAAGAGTTTCAACTAAAGCTGCAATTCACAGATAAGTAACTTGTAAAGCTAAAGGAGGATGAATGCTCACATATGTATTACTAAAATCATGAAACTATTGAGTCACGACTACTTTAATAAGTTAGGCCTCTTAGAAAGAACATTAATAATCCTTAACCTGCAATTAGATTGTAGTCAATGAAGTAGTTATCTGATATAAATTATACTCATAAAACTTCATAAAGCTGTTGCTTAACTTTCCCATATGATAGCTTTTCTCCCACAAACCACACCCCCCCCCCCCCAAAAAAAAAAAAGAGTATCAAAAGTGAATCCAACATCTATGATAAAAATTTTTTGTTTCTTTTTTTTTTTTTTTTTTTGAATATTAACAGTTTTTGTATGGCATATCAGACTCTAGTAACATAAAAAAACACACTAACGAGAGACTACTATACTAAGATGACAGCTTCTTATGACAGCATACATATAACAAGGTGAGACTAAACGCAAAGGAAGAATTTATTTGAGTATAGCTTAGTAGAAAGGCATCAATATCCCCAGAGTTTGAAACTTTCAATACTTACATTTGGTGACTGAAGGAAAGGGATCTCTTAGTCCATCCATTGCAGACAACACTGTCAAAATATTTGAAAGTCAAACGTAAAAACACACAAATAATTACTAGGAAAAACCAGGACAAAGAAATAAACCTGGAAACAAACCTGAGATTGCAGGAGTAAGAATACCATCACCAATTAGCATACATGTGCCTAACATAGCAGTGAAAAGCAACGCCCTTCTGGCAACAATACTTGTTTCAAAAAGTTTGCCAAGTCTGCTCTTCCCTCTGGTGTTCTCACGAAGTACAGGTCGTGATTGATTAGAGTTTATATCAGAATGTTTCAAAGAAACAATTCCAATATTCATCTTTCTACAGAGTAAAGAATACAAGGCAAATGTTCCACCTGCATCCATTTCGTTATGGCCAAATCAAGAATATTCATGTGCAGTAGTACTTAAAAGAAATGCAAAGTTTAAGCTACCTTTAATGGAAAGTCGAAATAACATCTCAAAGAAACTAAGGAGTGAAAAGGTTTGGAATATTAGAATTCAAATCATATCTATCAAACTAAATTATGTTGTGAAAGAATCATATAAGCAGTACTGCAAATCCAACAATTATCAGGGCAAGCATGAGCATTTCCCAGAAACTAATGAGCATAAGCACTTAAAAACAGCAAATGAAAAGAGAACATCTAATTATAAAACAATTATTTAAAGCACTTATCTTGCTTCGAAAAGGAACCATACAGAAACTAAATACAGAAAAAACTATGCTGCCTAGCTCACAATCACAAAGATCTGAAATGTTAACAAGGCAAATTTGTTACATACCTTCACCCTGATCATCTGCCTTCAGAGCAATACTGGCATACTTGACAACCCCAATGAGTGTAAGAGTCCAAAACATGATGCTATAGATTCCCAAGTAGTCTTCTTCAGTTGGAGAATTTAAATGCATTGATGGATATACATACAGTGGGGATGTTACAAGCCCTCCAAATACTACTCCTAGCGTCTTGTATGCAAGTAACAGATTGCTCCATCTACCAGTCTCCTGATTTCAAGAGAATTAAGTCAATATATATTCGGTTTCAAATCCATTAAATTTTCAAAAACCAAAGATAAAACTAAATATGTAAACACAATAGAACTGTCCGAATTTGTAAGGCACTCAAAACTAATCAGGTTTCAATATCTAAACTTGTTGGTCCATGTAAAACCAGAAAAAATGAGTGATCAAATTGAAGCATGAAAACCAAACTACAGTCTAAAGAAAATATTCCAAACCAAACTGATAGAGAAAGAGAAATAGAAAGAGAACAAAAATAAGGAAACCCAGAAACTCAGAACTTCGAAACAACCCCTTGCAAGAACAACATATTAGTGAAACAAAAACGAAAGAACATACGCATATACGTGTAACAGACATGATAAAAAGTGAGAGAAACTACTTTGTTATCAGTAGGCTGAACAAGGTTGGTGCTGCGTCCCTGAGGAAAGTGAAGATAGTTAAAGGGATGACCATTGCCAGAAGCAGAATCAATAACTACATCAGGTAGAGCGTGAGCTGGCCCTGGCTGTCTATCCATTCTGATATATTAACCGGCTTCGGTCTTTTGCTCAACTTAGCAGAACCCAGAGAAACATACAATATATACAAATATCCAGAGGAAAAAGGTTGTGTGGGTGGCTGTAGCTATTTGGGTCGGTGGCTTTAAATTCAGTCCTTGTGGAAAGCAAATAAAGGAAACTAGTCTAGTCTCCAGGAACAGCGGACTAACTTAACTCATATTTGTCATTATTAGGAATATAAATAATACATTAATATTCGTAAATTTTTTGGATTCGATTCAAAAAAATTTTAAATTCGGTTTGATTATTATCAAATCGAATTCAAGTTTGAGTAATTCGATTTATCGATCGAGTCGAATTTGAATATTTTTATATCCGACTCGAGTAACTCACGAGCCTAATCGAGTTTTTATATTTAAATATATTTTTATTATTTTAATTAATAAAATATTTTGACTCTGAGTTCAAGTTCGAATTCGAACATAAATAATCGAATTTTTATCGAGTATACGAATCGAATTTATTTTTACATATTAATCGAACTTAATCGAACGAATTCGAGTAGCTCGAATTCGATCACGAATCGAACTTAAACTTGAAAAATAAAATTCAATCGAATTCGAACCGAATATCGAATCTCGAATTGTAAGTCGAGCTCGAACTTCTCACTATATCAACTCGATCGACTCAATTACACCCCTAATCACTACACAAATTTTTGTTTGTTTGAAAAAGCTATGTATATATCGATTTTTTTTAATACAATCACCTGTCACGCAAATTTTGCTTTGATCCAATCTTTTGTTAACTATTTAAAGACAAATTTTCTCACATTAATCACATGCATTCGGAATTTTATTTTTAAATATTTTTTATAAAAAATAACTCTTTCATTTACTAATTAATCTTAACGTCTTAGATGTAAATTTTATTGGGTGTGGGTTTTGATTGTTAATTAAAGTAAATAATTTATTAATTGATTATTTAATGATTAATTGATTACTCGATAATATAATAATTAATTATGAGTGTAATTTAAAAAAAAAAAACTCTTATAGGTTACATATGTATTTAATTATTGAAATTTCAATAAGCAAAATATACCTTATTTAGATATTTAAAAAGGAATGAGAAAAAATTATCTTGAAAGCTTATATTATTTTAAAAATAAAAAGATTTGTAATATAGTCTTTTAAGTTTGTGAAAATTTTCATTTTTAAAATTAATTAAATAAATCACCTCAATAAATAATAATTGTATAAACTGAAATCGAAAACCAGAACTACTAAATTGTTAGAGTTTGTTTAGTGTAAAAGAAATAATTTTTTAAAAATATTAAATATATAAAAAATATTTGAAACAACAATTACTGAATATAACAAAAAATTTTCATAGCTTTTAAATGTATTTTATTTTAATAAAGTATTAATATTTATTCAAATTATTTAATAAATTTGTTGCATACTTGATATACTTAACAACTCAACCAATACAACTTTTATATATATTTGGAATTTTAATATGGGAGATGAAGTTCCAACCTTAATCATATAATATTCCGTCTTAAAAAGAGGTAAAGCATCCAAAACTCAAGCATAAGTTGTTATAAATTTTGTGTATAAAATTTTATTAAATTATCAATAATTATGTGATTTAACGGTTGATAGGATGTTGAATTTTAAATTTTAATAATCGACACTTTAATAGTATATCAAAATAAGAGTAAAATATTTTAATAGTATCTAAATTATTTGAGTCTTTTAAAATGGTTATTAAAATATTATTTTTTTATTTTGATCATTAATGTTTGAATTAATAATTTTTTTAGTCATTGACACGTTAAACAGTAGCGACTATTTGACCTAACATTACAAATATTTAAAAGTTAATGATGTGGCAAATAAAATAACTCAGATAGTACCTACGTAAGCTAAAATAACCCAAATTAGTCCATAACAAATTTAAGGGTTTGGGATTTTTGTGAACCCAGATGGTACCTACGTAAGCTAAAATAACCCAAATTAGTCCATAACAAATTTAAAGGTTTGAGATTTTTGTGATTTGGGGTTTATGGTTATGTTAAGAAGTGATTGTGATTTGGGGTTTACGGTTGCAATTTAAAGAGAAGCATTTACGACTTGGGGTTTAAGGTTGCTAAAGTTGTGATTTAGGGAGACTCAAAAGTTAAGAATTATGATTTTGTGTTTTTTCAGGTGGTGTAAGATCATATTAGATTATGGTGTTGGTGTTGGTGTTTGTTTAGGGTTTGGCAAGCAATGAACAAAAGAAAGCTTGGATTGAGAGGGGATGTTATGCTTATATATGGTAAGTGTTCAACATATTTTTGTTATTTTTTTAGTTTTTACCTACTATTGAATGGAGTAGTTTGAATGGATGAGTTTAATTTTGAATATTTAAGACAGTTGTTACAAATAGGTTTTTATTATGTTTTGTGTGGTGTTGAATGTGATGAGTCATTTTTTAATACTTATGTTCTGCTTAGTGTGCTGAGTCAATTTGACTTTCAAAATCAACTTTAGAACACCAAGCACCTAGAAACACAAACATTAGAACCCTCGAAATACCCTTTCCTCATTGTGTGTGATTTTTCCTCTATTTTATATATCAAAACCCTTTTAATTTTGAAAAAAATTTCACATGATCCGGGATTTAATGTGAATTTAATTCTACAATTTTATTGTGTTTGCACGATTTAAGCCCCCAAATTTTGGTGAAAATTTTTTCATTTTTGGTTCTTCTAAAATTGGATTTAAGCCCCCAAATTCTATTATTTTTTTTATTTTTTGATTTTTAAAACCTTTAACCCTTTTTTATTTTGATTTTTTTTATTTATTTACTTTATTGTTATTTTGATAAAGGTATAATTAAACCAAAATTAAATCAAATTAAAATTTAAAATAAAAATTTTCCTATTGGGCTTGAGCTTCCCAATTTGACCTAATTTAATGTTGAAAGCTCATTTTTCATCAAAAAAAATTTCTGACAAAATAGGGTGTTTACAAAAGATTATTTAATTGAGTCAGTAGTTGTGATAATATCTTTGACTTAATTTAGGCTTATATAAACTAAGTTTCAATGGATTTTTTTTTTATAAAATGTTGTCTACATTTTCTGCATATGTTACAATCTTTTATATATTAATATCATAATTTAGATGTAAAAAACAATCAATTTTAGATAAAAGAACAAATTGATACTGATGACTAGGGTACTATTTAACTTTTGGTTGGAACTTGATATATATAAATAACCATATGCCCCCATATTTTCATATTTTGAAGTTGTTACTTGTTTAATGAATATGTTAAAGATTTAATCTTAGAATAAAGGGGATCAAGCTAATGTTTACTTTTTATTTCCAAGTTTCAACTTATTCTATTGTTTAGAAGTAGACTATATATGTTGACCAAAGCTAAGGCCATGAGTAAATTACATATTAGTTTAAAGCTATTAGATATAAATTAGTTATGTAAATTATGCCTAAATCATATTAGTTTTTTAATTAATGTTTTAAAATTTGATAATTCTTTTAGAGTAATCAACTACTTTTCAATTATTGTTCAACATGGTGATAAATTTCAATATACTCCTATTATGAAGTATATTGGAAGGATGTTTGATTACTTTGATTTATGCCATGTAGAAGCTATGTCCATGCTTGAAATGAATGATATGATTGGAGAGTTAAGTTATGTAGGCTTAATTAGATGTTATTGGAAATAACTTGAAAGGGCACATAGTAATGATAATGTTATGCCTTTTATAACATATTTTGATATAGTGAATATGGTTGCTTGCATGCCTAGAATTCATTACATCCATATTTATTTGGAAGATGGGTTTGTCATTGATGGATATAAAATAGATAGTAGATCTTATGGTAGATTTGATGGTAGATGTGTTAAGGATGAATCACAAGTGAAAATTGCTTTAGACACCACAAGTGAATGTGAAACTGAAGTAGAAGTAAATTGTGAAAGTGTTAGTTCTAATTGAAATTAATGTAAATGCAAATTCTAAAAGTGTTAGTTCTAATTTAGAGAAAGATGAAGTTTTATTCAATGAGCATGAAAATAATAGTGATAGTTCTGATTTTGATTTTAATGAAAATGGTTATGATATGGATGATGATGATGACCATGTATTTGAGGTCAATTTTGATTTAGAAATTAAGAGTAGTATGGGTAGAGGTGATAGAGTTCATGCTAGAGTGGATAATGAGTTTTGTGTTGGAGTTGGAAGAGTAAGTGTTAAAGATGAAAATAGATCTGAATATGAAAAATCATATTTTTTTGCACAGTGCACATAAGTTTGATTCTGAAGGTGTTAGTAGATTATAAGAATTTAATAGTGAAATAGATATGGCAAATCCTAAGTTATAGCTAACAATGAGGTGCTAAAAGATGCTATAAGATAGTATGGAAGGAAAAATATAATGCCAAGTTTAAAAGGAATGACAAAAAAAGAGTTAATGTTATATACAATGATAGGAGTCCATAGAAATTGTAAGGGGCAAAATTCAATGCTAAAAACCTATTGGACCCTGCTTAGCAGATAGAGACTTATGTCATTGAACATACATGCCTTAAGAAGAATAAAAATAAAACATGACTTCTAAATAGATGGCTTAGCATTACCTCTAAAAGTTTATGATTGATCCAAAGTACTACTTAAGTTCCCTTCAAACAGACTTTGTGATTCATGTGTCATTGACAAAATATTTTAAAGCTGAGCGGATAACACTTGAAAATTGTGTATGAAAATCACAAAGAACAATATTATAAGATTTATGATTATTTGGATAAGCTTAGGCATAGCAATAAAGGGACCACTACAATATGTTACCTAGACTAAAGGTTATTTAAGAAAATATATGTTTGTTTACAAGCATGTAAAGATGGATTCAAAGCTAGTTGTAGCTGTATTATTAGCCTTGATGGTTGCTTCCTAAAAGGAATTGATGTAAATGATTGCATCTATCCACAACGTATGTCACTATTGAAAGTGAAAACTTTGAGTCTCGACATTGGTTCTTGCTTTTGCTGAAAAATGATTTTGAGATTAAAAATTCTTATCA